GGATGGAGTGCAAGAGAGTCTCAATTCGGGTCGCCATTCTTCCAAGGAAAGAAATTTATCTCCATACAGGCGTGGAGGTTGGATGTTCAGGTCTTGGGAGGTAAGCATGTCCCACTCACCAGCAGCCCCAGTGACGCACTGGCCTCCAGCCCCTGGTCATGACTCCGTTTCTGTAGTGGAGCTGACTGGGGTCCACTTTCATGAGCATTGTCCTGCATCCCACCTGTGTCCTGCATGGTCACCAAGTTCCATAAATTCTACTTCCCCAGATATCACTGATTCCACCCTTTTCTCAAACTACAGCCTTAACTGCCACAACCTTCTAGCAAGGCTGCGGGGCTCCAGCCCAGGCTCCTCCAATCCAGGGTCATGCTGCTGCTGAAACACCCTTTCTAAAAAGGCTAATCCTTTTCATTTTCAGCCCTGGTTTTAAACCTTCCAGTTTGGCTGATTTTCTCCCGGGTAAAACACTACCTTTTTTTATACTGACACTTCCTTTTTGTTTCTTCAGCTTTGTCTGTCTTATTCTCTTGCAATGGCTTTCTTTCCAAGGGGTTCCCCTGAAATCACAGTGTTCTCTCCCACTTCTCTAAGGGCGATGCCATTTCTGCAGGGGCATCCCTCTCTCTCTCTTCCAGGTCATTTGGAACTCAACCCAGGCATCCCTCCTTCTAGGGGGACAACCTGAGCTTCTGCTGTCTGTTGGATGTTCCTTGTCCGGTCACCACAGCGCCTGGCATGTTCCACTTTCCCCTTTTTTTCAAATATAACCCTTAGCTGGAGATTGTCTTAGGTCGCTTCATATCTCAAGGCACTGCAGAAGGAAATCTACAAATATTTGCTGTCTGAATTAGCTGTTGCTGGTTGTAATTTTGGTCTGGAAGGCGTTTCATTCCCTCTTTTTTTTTTTTTTTTTTTGGTCTTTTTCTTTTTATCAGTACTGGGGATCGAACTCAGGACCACACACTTGCAAGGCAGGCGCTTATGCCGCTGAGCTAAATCCCCAGCCCCTACCCTGACTCATTTTTAAGATCTCCTCAAGTAAGGCCCAAATTAGATGTGATCTGCTTCATGAAGCCTTTCCTTCCTCCAATGTTAGAACTACTCTCACCCTCTGCTGGGGTTCTCTGACATACACCATTTCTTTGTTTCATGTTAATATATGCAAACCTTGATACTTTGGCATCTTCAAAACTCAGAGTGAACGCGTCCAACAGTCACTCAAGGATGCACCCATTGGGACTGTGGGCACGAGGCCAGGAATAGAAGACCGCTGGGAGCCTTCTTTTGGTTTCTAAGTCACATCAAGTAATTGCTCTGCTCGCTTGTAGAGTTGGGCTTACTATCTTTATTCTCTCCAGATGGATGAAAATTGCTTTTTTGAGGGTTGTTTCCGTGTCTGGTTTATTTTTATTCTGCCACCTGTGCCTAGCACAATGCCTTCTTCAGAGAAAGCCTGCAGGGGATGGATGAATGAATGAACAAAGTTAGTGGGAAGCAGCAAGCATTGTTTCTACTTGACTCCATCATGAAGCAAGAAGTTTTCTAGGCTGGTCTTAGGAGCATCTCTTGTACCCATAATTTTTTGGAGGTGGCGCTGTGATGCATACTTTGAGACATTATGAGAGGAGTAAGAACCCCTTTACCTACATCCTTCATGGTGAGAGAAAACCAGGGAGCAGTTTTGATGCCCCACTGTATTCAAAAGAATTCCTCTTAGGGAAAAAAAAAAAAAAAAAAAAGGATTCTTCTTTGGCTCAGTGCATAGGACATGTCAGAGCTTGTTCTAGATCTTGAGGAGCCAGTCCTGACCAACCAGCTACAGAGGCCTGGTGGTGCTGTGGATGAGTGGAGGGATCGAGGGTGGGCTTGTGTTTGTTTGTAATATCCACAGGACCCAAAAACCCCTCCAGCTTTCAGAGCTCTTTAAGAACAGCATTGATTTTGCATGGTTTCTGGGCACTTAGTTTCTTTCAAATGAACCCTTTGGTTGTTTGAAAGACCAGTGGCTTCTTTGATTTCCTCCGTGTATTTAGTTGTGCTGGAATGATGGGTATTTCCTAGGCAATTGCAACTTTTCTGCTTCTGTACAGGCATCTCCTCATAGCTCTGGCTCTGTCTGCTGAAGCAACTTCTGAACTTTTTAGGAGTAAACAGTGATGGTGTCCCTTGCAGTTTAGATTCTTGGGTCCCTAGTTGCACTGTAAAGTGTTGTTCCTTTCAAGGGTGGTATTCTATACATACTTGAGCTGGGCCAAGGAGTTTTGTTCATGATCAAGAATGAATTACAGAAAGCTACATGGAATGTGATTAAGAATGCCCTCCCAGGGGTTGGGGATTTAGCTCAGCGGCATAAGCGCCTGCCTTGAAAGCAGGCAGTCGTGAGTTCGATCCGCGGTACTGAAAAAAACAAAAAACAAAAAACAAAAAAAAAAAAACAAAAGACACACACACACACAAAGAATGCCCTCCCTACTCCCCCCCCATTACATACTGTCTAGTGAAATGCCCTATGATTAAAAAGGTAATCCTAGTCTCCATGTGCAATTTAAAACTTTCTAATAGCCACATTAAAAAGTAAAAAAGAAATAAGTGAAATTAGTTTTAATAGATTTTATTTAACCAAGTAAATTTAAAATATCACTTCAACATGTGATCAATATAAAGGTTATTAATGAGCTATTTTACCTTCATATTTTACTAAGCCTATGAAATCTGGTGTGTATTTTTGACTGTGGTAAGTCTCAGAACTAGCCAAATTTCAAGTACTCGGTAGCCACCTGTAATTTATGGTTCCTACATTGGACAGTGAAGCTCCAGCTGAGATGCAGAAGTGATTGATTATTCTGGGTCCCCACTACCCTCCAAATTAAGCTGCCTCATCCACTAAGCCAAGGCAAAAATTTGGGATATAAGGGAGTGTATTCAAATATATGAGTATCGATAGAGCTTTGGAAAAAACATGATTTCATTATGTTTTGATAGACAATTTCACTTTTTTCCTTTTTGTTTTGGTGCTGGAGATTGAATCCAGGGTCTCATACATGCTAAGCACAGACTCTATCACCAATCTGGATTTTAGGTAAATTAGGAATTATACTGGTCTCTGTAGGAGAATCTTAACACAAAAGAAGATATATACATGCTTAGGGTGTGCTTTTCCTTAGTATGTAATATAAACTTATTTTTTCTCTCTTCTCACATTAAATTGTCAGTCATATCCAAGGCAGACTACATTTTCCACTTTGTTTTTCAGGCTGCGTATATGAAAAGTTGTTGTCTTTCATTCTGAATCGCTGCACTGTTGGAATTCCTGAGAACTGGTGAGAGTTCTGCCTGATAGTCTAACTGGCTGTCTTGGGTTAGAGTCTACACTTGCTTCCCAATGATGGCAGGCCCAGAGCAAGCAAAGTGCAAGCTTTCAAGTCATAGATACATTAATATAAAGAAGGGAGTTTCGAACTTTACTTTTAGAAAAGTTGATAACTTTTTCAAACTATAACTTCTGCCAAGAGGCAACACATAGAATTTACAAAGAAATTTGTAGAAATTTGACACTGACACCAAGTAGGTAGAAAGGGTTAAAAATTTCAAGTCTGTTACAAGTGTACTGACTCAGCCTCTTCGTGCTTATTTGTATCTCCAGCAGTGTGGGCCTCAAACCCTGGAAGTTCTGGGATATTTTGTTTTGTTTTGTTTTACTGTTTACCACTACCTGGAGAGGAGCAAAAAGAAGTGGGAGGGCAGAGCTGAGAACTGGCAGTTTGGGCCTCTTTTCTACCCCTCCCCCACGGTCTTAGCTATATGACCTGATTAAACAGCTTTGGGATGCTGGCCAGACTTCTATATGCTAACGAGGCTCCTGCCTTCTTGGTGATTTAGAGCGATTTCATCCACCCGGAGCTTCCCCGATGCCCCGTGCAGACTAGACTTCACAGAAGTCTCTTTATTTGTCAAGGGGTCGCTAGTGAAGAATTCGCAAGTACTTGAAGCAGACACAGGCTCTCTGGTGCCTCGGGTCACATCGGATTATTCATTAGCAAATTCCTTTCGCCTTCTATCTAAGTAGTGAAAGGTGACTCCATAATTTCGCGTGCCACTCCCCGATGGGATTCGGGCGACACCCAGTCCAGGTTCTGCAACTTCTACCTCGCTTTTCTAGTACAAAACAACGCTGCCAAAAGTTGCTTTAAATCTTTCTTACTCCTAAGCCTAAAGGTCAGAGACCAGGTTCCGGCCAGCCCTCCCACTGGCCAGACTCTGATCCTTTCGGAAGTTTCTGGGGAGGGTGGAGAACAGAAGCGGTGGTAGTGGGGGACCGCGCAGAGTGACCACCGGGAATTACGTAACGAAAACCCTGGCTGCAGAGAGCGCGAGCCTGACATTGAGACAGTCCAGGGGGAGGGGAGTCGCTGCCCTGGAGTAGCCAGAAACAGAGGCGGCAGTTCCAAGAAACCGAGAGAGAGGTGACAGAGATAAAGAAAACACTTTGGGAACAAGAATATTAAAAAGCCGCGGGACCCAGAGCATTAATCGGCAGGACACGTGTAGTAATTTGTCAGGCGAAACTGCAGCCTTCCAACTTTTGCAGTGGTGCACGGGGCTTGACTCTTCGGGGGGATTAAAAACGGTGATATGCAAAATCCAAAACTAATGTATGGAATTCAGTGGTTTGTCAGCAGTATGTAAATATTTCTGTCCTGGAGCGCAAACTCTCTGCAGTTATTTAGAAAAGTAGGGACTAAAACCAAGCTAGAATGCTCTCCCGTGCGTTTCCACTTGTCCCCGTAGGAAAAGGAGCTGCTACCGCGGTACTGCCTCTTTAAGACCTGCTCGCTGTCGGGCTCTACAAAAGGGAGTGACCTCTGGGCTTTGACAGCTCCCCTAATAACTACCATCGCGCAGGCCCCGCCCACCTGGCGACCAGCCGCGATGATTGGTCGGCGGGCCGGTATCCCGTGCTCTGATTGGCCTACCGCTTCCCCTGAGCGAACCTTTAGAACTCTGAGACAGACAATATTCTGTTACATTGTAGCAAAATGGCGACTGTCATTCACAACCCCCTGAAAGCGTAAGTAAGACTAAAAAATGTACATATTCCGCGTGGTTTCAATATGAAAAAAAAGGCGCCTTCCGCGTGCGGAGCGCTGCCAATGCATGGCGCTTGCAGGCGCCTCCAGCTGCGGCGGGGCTTCTCTTTTTTTCTTTCTGCTCTTACTTCTTCATCTTTTTTTTTTTCTCGCAGCGCGCAGAAATGTCAGGAGATGCAATTAACAAAAAGAAAATTGTTACATTTGTGTCCTGCTTAATTGGCTGACAGAGAGAGAGAGAGAGAGAGAGAGAGAGAGAGAGAGAGAGAGGTTATCAGCAGGGTGGTCGGGCGCTCCCGCGCGCTAGTAGGGGGGTTTTGGGCAGCCCGGGGACAGCACAGTCCCCTGAGTCTCCTGGCTCTCTGGACTGCGAGTGGCGCGCGAGGGGCGGCTGAGCGGGGCCGCAGCTCCGGGCAGAGGCCGCCTCGGTGCACTTGACTGAGCCCGGCGCCCCTGGAGGCCAGAGCCCCCACCAGGGGACTCGGCGTGCCGGGGCGAGCGGACCGACCGCGGAGGCTCGGGAGTTTGCAGGGCGCTTTCTGCCTTCCGATTTCTCGTGGGGAGTTTGTGTAAACCTTCCGGAGTTGGGAGACCGCGGGTCCCAGAAGCCCAGGTGGTTGGTTGCCCCGGGCTTTTCTGCTCCAGCAGCTCCAGATTCTGAATGCGCTCCGGGCGGTCGCCGGTGTGTCTGCGTAATTATGGGCGAACTGGCTGGAGTAAATTAATGACGCGGGTTAACTTGGGGTTGCTTTGGAGGAAGGGAAGCTGCAGGTCTTATGAATGGTATTCTTGCCTCCTCTGGGTGGAGAGCCGAGGCGGGCGGATAGGCTGTTTGGGCTCCGGGTCCCAATGAGAGGCAGGTGCCGCTGGCCGCCTCGGGGAGACTTTGAGCGGACGCCCAGATCCGAGACGAGGGTTGCGGGGGAGGGCTGGGAGATGACTCGCGGGGGCCAGCCCCCGGGTCCCGCAGCCAATTCCTGCCTGCCTTCCTCCTCCTTTTCATCCTGGCTTCCTTCCTTCCTTCCTTCCTTCCTTCCTTCCTTCCTTCCTTCCTTCCAGCCGGTGGAACTGTTAAGCCTCCAAGTCCGCTCTCGATCACTGAGCCGGGGGTGGCCTCGGAAAACTAATATCGCTCAAGAGGGGTGCTTTTAGGAGAGGTGTTGGCAGAGGTTGGCTCCTCGGTATCGCGGCGCGACGTGGGCTCTGGGTCAGCGCCCCTTGGACCAGGACTTCCCTGCCGGGATGAAAGCCCAGCGAGGGGAGGGGGAGGTGCGGATGGGCGTTTCGTGCCGAATTCTCATCGGTGTGTGGCGTTGATGGACCTGGTTCTTTTAACTCAGTGCATTTACTTCCTAACCCCGGGCTCCCCTTGGAGTTGAAAACCAGGTTTGCAGCGGGTGGCTGAGGGCCGGGGGAAGAGGGAGTTCCTCACGCAAAGGAACGCACAGGGGCATTCGGATCTGTTTGCACCAGCTTATCAGCAGTAAGGAACAGGGATACAGATTATATACTGACGTGAAGAAGACACGGAAGCTGAGGCTGATCAGAGAGGAGCTCTTGGCTTCACTTCTTATTCGAAAGCCCACATCCACAGCACTTGAGCGCCACAGCGTTCCACCCAATGGGGAGAAAAATGTTTCCAGGCAGAATAAATGGGCGTAACTTCGTCGCATCCTCGCTCAGGGTCGCTCGCGCGCACACATCGCTGATGCTGTGACTTTTTACCGAACACAGAGCTGATTTGCAATTTCCCCATTTCTCGTTGAAATCACATAGCTCGACTGATGCTACCTGGTAAACTCGAGTTAAAAAGATCTATTTTACATGTGTGCTGGGTTTCCTGCTGGGTAAGCCGTACTCTTGTTACTCGGCAGCCAGCTTACGGTTTACGCGCCGGCAGGCGCAATAGCTCTAGGCTCCAGGGATCCCCGATCGCTACATTTTCACCCCCCACCCCTGGACCACTGAAGAGCGCAGCGCGTGTTTGGGAGGGTGGGGGAAGGGAATAGAGAAACGAGAAGTTGGCCAAATCCTGGGTGGCTAGTGGAAGTAGTTCTGAATTATACAGTACTTGTACTTTGTATAATTAGAAATAGTAATGATGTGATGTTTGTGGTTCTTTATTGGCACACACACACACACACACACACACACACGCACGCACACACCCGCGTGTCTACTATAGGTGGGAGTTGAGTGGTCATTTATAATTAGTAGCTCCTTTTTGCATCCTAGCCTCTTTTCATGGGGGTGAGAGGTGTAAACAATAACCCGGACTGTTTCTAAACTCCTTACGCTGGAGCATACACGTTGTTATTGGGAGACTGACATCGTCTGCTTTTATATATTTTGAAAACACCGCATCTTATAAAACATCTTATATATTTCATTTGTTTTTAGAAGTTGATGATCAGGAAACAAAACACACATAAATAAATTATGCATGGGATAAATTAGAACAAAGCACGGAGACACATCAAGCCGAAGGATGGATGGTGCAGGGAGGAGGGGAGGAGGGAGAATGGTTTGGAGTGCTATGTTTTTATCCTCCTGTGTCCCTCCTGACAATGAAGCGGAGCTCAACGACATTAGCATTTTCTCCGTGCGCCCACAAAGTCTCTTTCCCCCTCAAACAAACAAACAAATAAACAAACCCAGCAGCACAGACGCCCCCTACAGCAGTTGGTCACACAAAGGTTCCTCCAGGACTGGGGATAAAGTAGAGGTAGTTAAGGTGCTGGGAATAAGCTGGCTTAGGTTTCCTGCATCACCTATGTAGGGCTCTCCCTACTGGGCATGGACTATTTTCATTATACAGGCTTTTTCCATGTGAGAATTCAATAACTCAGTTAGCTGAGATTACCTGGATGGCACAATTTGAATCTCTTTGCTTTGGGACCTTCCTTATGGTCCCAAGCTCCTGAAGTCACATCTCCTTTCTTAGCAGTTTGGCTTTCTTCCTGGCTGTCTTTGATCTCCCTTCAACTCCCTTTCTTTTTCCTCCTGGTTGTACCCTTCAGCCTCTTTCTCTCTGAAACTGACAGCCTGGCTTCTCTCTCTGTTGTTGCCTTTAACATCTTATTACTGCCCAACAGGGTGTTAGAGGCAGAAACAGGAGCCGCCTGGACTGATCAGATCACAAAGGGGACGCGGCAGGTGGCCCCACAAGCAAGCAGACACATCTGGACAAATAGAATTTAAAAGCACTGTTGGACATGTGTGATGTGCAAATGCATATTACTCATTATTTAATTATTTAATTTAGCAGCTACATCGTGTTGTGAGTGAAGATGTGTGACAGGCATCTCCATTTCTTACATATACAAACAAGTACATAAGGTAAAATGAACATACGTAGGTAACATGAATTTGATAAAGGTCTGTGTGTAAATTAGACAACATGTATTCTGGTTGATTTCTATAGACTCTAATGCTTTTAATGTAAATTCTGATCTTAATATTTTAGTTTAAATCATCTTAAGCAGAACTTTAAACAATTTAATTCTTTTAGTAAGTTATAAAAACCGTGGCTTCAATGCACTTAACTGGGAATGTCTGCCACCTTCTGCCAGACTTGATTATGCACATATGAATCTATTATTATAACTGTCTGCTTAGAAAAGAATAACTATTATCATTATTTAATTATTCCAGATAAGCTGATAGGACTACCTTGAATTAAATGTTTATTTATAAAGAATGAGACAAATAAGCTATTTTGTCATTCTCATAACTGTACACATGCAGATAACTGTATCAAAACTTTTGTAAGGAATTACTTTTGGAGGATTAGTTAACAACCCTGTCATTAAAGATACAACTCAGAGAAGTAAATATATTTGCTTAGCTAAAGTCCCACAGTAGGTCATGTGTATGGATGGACCTTAAATCTTTATCTGTTCATCCAGTCTCTCATCTGGATACAGTGTTTAGATTACAGTCTAATCTAAAGTGGTTTTTGTGCATGTGAAAGTTAGAAGCCAGACCTTACTCTTGTGTGGCAGCCAATTTAGCTATCACAGAGGAAGGCATAGGGGGCCACATTCCTGGTCCTAATCTCCTGACCATTTCTGTTGGAGTGGGGGTTGTGGGTAGGTACTAAATGGAGAGCAGTGGGGTTGAGACTATGTGAACTTGTAGCCTTTTATGGACATTACTGAAACCCTTTATGAAAAAGACGCTGAGATATGTTAACTCAACAGATGCCTAAGAATCGTCTCCATCTGCTTTGGTTGCCACTGTAAAAAAAGTCCTAAATTCTTCACACTTTATTAGCACACATTATTTTTGGTGAATGTCTGGGTTTAGTGAGATACCCGTAAAGGAGATTAATTTCTGCAGAACCCAACAGGAGGCATTGTCCCAGGATAAATCTCTGAAAATAGACTGGCCTACAGACCTCCTGGGGGACACCTGAGGTTGCTAGTGGACTGGAAGCTTCTCAGACCCAGAGGATGGGCTGGAATTTATAGGCAAGTTGGTTGGAGATTTCTTTTTTTTTTTTTGGTACTGTGGATTGAAATCATACCCTCATGCTTGCCAAGGCAGGTGCTTACATCCCTGAGCAAAATCCCTGGCAATTGGTTCGAGATTTCTTATCTTCCTCTAACTTTTTGGAATCACTCAGGTAACTGGAATTTGGATATATTTAAGAAAGACCATCATATGTAAAGCTGTTTTAGAGCCATCTGCTCAGATCAATGCAAAAAATAAAAGTGCCATAGGCATGTTTTGGGCACACACAGGAAAAAGAGTAGAAACTGAGGCAGATGTTTCATTTTTCAAAGTGCAGACCTACTGATTGTAGTGGTAGTAGGAGTTGGGTCATAAAAAGGCACAGCATCCAGGTCTATTCATTATCCCAACCTTTGCAAAGTAACTTTTGTGGTTTTTGAGTGTTTTGAAAGTCACTAGAAGACAGAAGTGTAGCAAAATGTGGCAAATTTCTAGCCAAAAAAATTCCCACAACCACTGAAATATT